ATACTGTGGTCACAATGACAGGAAGTTGTAAATTTTACTCAGGTTATTTTTTATTTTTTTTTATTTCAACTATATAAAACATTACAAAACTCAAAAGAAAAAAACACAAGTAACATAGCTATTTGACGTCAGATAAAGAGAATTAACCAATAACTTGGTGTAAACATATTTAATATCCTCTTAAGAGGTATGCACTATAGATTTTTGAATTTCAACAAAAATTTGCATACTTAATTTCGATTTTTTTGCTAATATCCAGATAAATATTCATTCAAATGATATCAAAGTTATTCTCAACCGCAACTTATGAAATTTGCACTATGTAATAAAGTTTTTTTTTAACTATATAAGCAATACAAAACACAAGGTCAAAAGAATGAAGTACCGTAAAATTTGTATTAGAAGCCACACCCATTCATTTTGAACAATTGAGACCAAAGAATTCACCATTTCTCATATGTGTAGATACTCTAATAGAAGACGCATCCCCTCTGTTGCATTGTACCATTTTATTAGAAGCCGCGGCTTTTAATACAGATTTTACAGTACATACCTTATTGGCAGATTAAGAAAATTTACATTTAAGAAAATAATCAGATTTCTTTAAATTTAAATTTGAATTAGTGTGCGATTTTAAAATACAATAAAGCTTTCTTCCATTTATTTATAAACTCTCCATATTGTTGGTTTGTTTTTGTCATATGTTTCTCCACGTCTATTATTTGTTTTATACTCTCAATATAAGTATTAAAATTTGGTTTGAGATTGTTAAATCTTACTCTGTACAATTCATATTTTCCAAGTAGTATTAGGTGCTTCCACAAGGCCTTTGATTGAATTCCTTCTATAGTATTGAAAATAACATCATTCTTTCCAAGTGCAGTGTCTATAAACATGATTTTTGTCCATAAAGTTTTGAAAGAGTCCCAAAATGTTCTACTTTCTTTACATTCCCACAAAAAATGTTCTAAATCTTCTGTCTGGTCACAGTGATTGCATTTATCAGTATCAATCTTTTGGTTGAGTTTTAGAAATGAATTTGTTGCGAGAAGACGATGAAGTATTTTATATTGAAAATTGTGCAATTTTTCTTGAACAGTTATTTGTTTCACGTTTAACCAAATTGCCCGCCAGTCAACGTGTCTGTTGAAAGTGTCTATGACAGATGCTTTTTTTCAAATTTATTAGTTTTCGGATCATTATAAAAATTTTGACATTTATATTTTGACAGTCACATTCTTTTTCTGTCGCACGGGTAAGATATCACTTTTTAAATTCTTTTTCCGTTGGCTAGGTATAGCAGCTATAATGCTATTGTAAGTGAGAAAATCGACTTTTATATTATATTTACTTTTAAATTGATTGTAAGTTAGGATATTTCCATCATTGTCAACCAAATTGCTCATGGATTTTACTCCTCGATTTTCACAGTCGCGATAGAAAACAGACTTTCCTCCCACGAGTATATTTTTATTATTCCAGATAATGTATTGGCTAGGCCGGTCATTCACCGGATCGTTAAATTTTTTGGTAAATTCTGCCCAAAATGTAAGAATAACGTAGATTTTTTGGTAAATATATGGATTGGTATTGATAAACTATTCATAATGTAGATTAATTGTGATGCACCAAAGCACTTTCCTAAAATAGATTTTCCTTGGATGGTCAAGTCCCGTGATTTCCAAATGTTTTTTGTAGATTATCC